GTGGTCAGTAAATCCATTATCCAATCCAAAACCCGGTTGAGAGTCACTCATGCAGGGGATTGTATTCATATATTTATATGGCTTTCAGAGTGAGATGGGGCCCCACATTTGTAATTGGCCCAGGCCCTGTGTGTGTTTGCATACACATGTGCACATATACACAAGCCATTAAGTTCAAATTGCTCCAAGCCATATTTCGTAGTTTAAATGCTGTAACAAGGAGTTTCAGCAGAACTAATAAGACATACTTCAAACTGAACAGATTTCTTGTTCAGCAGATGTAGAACTGGTATGTCATATTTTCTGAAGAAAGGATTATGTACAGATATTGTCTATGTTAAAATTGTTGGATATAATGTCAAAATTAAATACCATTGCCAAGTTTGTAATTGTTGACTTAACAGAAAATATTTAATGTGTAGATATATTTATGATCTAGCTCAACATGCCTGCATCAAAAGGTTCATTTATTGTTGCCATCAAACCAAAAGTTAAAGAAAATGTTTGTTTGACTGTTATGTTACTGTTGTACATTCTGCAAAAAAAGTTTCTATAATGAAATTGCTAATTTCTTAAAGATCTAGCACCATACACCATAGCAGAATCTTAAGTTAAGTGGCATTGCCACATCACAGCTTTGTGCCTCTGCCATGATGTTGCTTCAGAGTGTAGGAATTTGAAAAGTCTGACATTAGAATGGCCTGTTAGGAGGAGAGTCACACTTGCACACTGTGAAAGTACTGTGTGTGTTGTTATACTTGGCTGTTCTCAAGAGAATGTTCAATGGCTTTGGTCCCTAAGCTAAGGATCATAGGTTGTGTGTCGGTTACTACAAGGTCCTGGTTATGGTGTGTCACCGTTCCTCCCTCCCACAGTGTGGCTGTAGCCACTGTGATGCTAGTTATTGCTGTACTTCTCATTCATAACCCAGAAACTGGGCCTAAAAGCATGTCTTATATCTGATATAGGCCATAAACTAAACCAGTTCTGTGTTTGTTAGCTGTTAATTACTCTCTGTCTCCTGTTTATTGTAAAATTAAATGTTTGATTTTTTGTAGTGCTGCAATGTTGGATTTGTATGTGGAAATCTTGAAGCAGCTTTTGAAAGAGGAACTCTACCCAGCTGATATTGCAGATCTCTGTTTTTCCATAATGCCAGGTGATAAGGGCATTATACTGAAGTTCAGTGGATACAATCAGAAGTTACATGTAAGTTTAACAAAATGTGCAGCAACTTTTTCATTTAACACATTGCGGCTTGCCACTTATATGTGTTCTAAGCGCATGAATCCAGTTCACATCCTCACACCCTCTTTAAGATCAAGTTCAATAATATCCTCCCATATATGTGTAAGAATCCAAAATTGTCTCTGCTTTTAAAGTTTTCTGGCAATTTTGTATGCATTTCTCCCAGGTATGCCACATGTCCTGCCTATATTAACCTACTTGATTTGATCATCCTAGTAATATATTGTGGATATTAAAAATTATGAACTTTAAGCCCTTGGGGAATCAAAATAATCATATGTTGATATGTTGTGTTCAGTATCAGTATCATAAAATTACAGATCACCACACATGTGACTGAACAGCAGATTTTAAGTGAAAGAATGGATTTCTGGAGAAAAATATGGAAGAATGTTAGTATGAGCATATTTTATTGCATAATGCAGACCCCTTATGCTGCTTTATTATCTGTCTTTTGTATTTTAATTTTAGATATATACTTAACATTCAGGGATCTGACCCATAGAAGGGATGGCGACATTAAATAGATGGTATTGATGTATATTTTGAGAATAGGATTTTGATTGAAGATAAGCCACTTTATGAGCTTCTGTGTGGTGAACCTTCAGGTTTCATAACAACAAGAGGTTTCTTGTGAGATTTGAGGTTCTCATACTGGTGACTGAGGATTTCTGTCTTTTTATGTTGTGACACCATAAAGTTGGTACTAACTTTGCCAAGCAGCGGTCACTCGCGCGGTTGGTACATTTCACTTGCGGACTAAAATCATGGAGTTTGACACCATGTAGTTTGGTAGGTAGGTACCAGTGTTTTGTAGTAACATGCTACCTTCACTTCTTGAAGATTGTAATCTTCAAGGAGTTTCTTGAACAGTGCAGTATCTCTTGCTGAGAAAAGGTTACATATTAGGAGTTAGTTAACACATTCATGTTATGTACTGTATTAGCCTGAGTGTAATACAAGTTTTTTAGGTACTGTTTCTTATTTTTGGGCCTTTAAGAGTAAATGAGATGAAGATGATTATGAGGAACTCTGAGTGATAATTTTAACGATATTTGTGAAAATACATAGAATTATATTCAAGGTATTAAAATTTTAATTGACTGTTTCTTTACTGTATCACTTTTACTTATTTTTGCTGACAGGCCACGGAACTGAATGACACATTTATTTCTGTCAAAACAGAAACAAGCTTTTTTTTTAACTTTCTCCCTCAAAATAGGGTATCACCTTATATTTGGGCTTGTAGTGTATTATCACGTATTATCACTAGTTTTACTGACTCCTCTGTGATGTCATATTCATGCAGTTGCTGTTGGAAGCTGTAATTAATCACATGGCAGAATTTGAAAACAGTCTGACACCTAGCATTTTTGAAGCACTGAAGGAAGTTCAAGGTAGATATTATTACAACAGCTGCCTGAAGCCCAAGAGACTTGGCCAGTAAGTACTCTCAATTCTCAGTTTACAAACAGATTGTGTTCCAAATAATTCTGTCAGTCAAGTTGCTCTTAATTTGAAATATAATTTTCTCCCATAAATAATGGAATTTAGCAATGGAGTAGCTAAGTTGATGAACTGAAACTGGAAGTCAGGGTTGCTGATTCACAACTCTTAATTAGCAGAGGATGGCAGTAAATTGCTGTAGGCCCTTGGCAGCACAGTTATTCTTGGTTTCAGGTTTTTGGGAAGATTGTTGTGGACTATACCAGAGTACAGTTCTGAACTATGTAAAGAATTTTCAGTGCAGAGAAGATTTAAATATTGTGATTGAAAGCTTAAAAAAGTATGTTGAATTCGAATATAGCATTAGGCCACCAACACCAAGTTTCTGAAAGGCAAATAAAATAATTTTTCATAATGATGCCAAAAGAATTTGTTAGAAACTGTTGATGAAGTTGTTGGAAAACAGTTTGCTGCTTCAGAAATTTCCCCCTATTCTAGTTTCCTGTTTGGGTAAATCAGGATCTTTACTACTTGAAACTAATATATTCATTTTATGATTTTGTCTTTAAGTGGAAGAAATGTTTGTCTATTGGTGCCAGTATCAGGAACTGTTCATCTACAAGATGTCAGTAAAGTCTAGCATTTTGTTTTTGTGTTACCATTTCAGTGCCATGAAGCAAGAAGTTTTCCTGTACATAAGATGTTAATGCTGTATGTTATACTTCTCTTTAAGTGCTAATTGCATCTTGCAACGATCTTTAAACTGTTGTCATCCATACTGCTGTCTGACAAATGTTCCTCACTCCCATTTATACTGTTGTCTCTGAGTGAGTAATAGGAAGAGGACACACCCAGGCATCAAGGAACATGAAGATTATTCATAAATTTTAAGTCCCCAATATCATAACCCTAAAGGGAGTCTTGAAATGATATTTAACACTATAAATGTGCATGTACCCTGGTTCGTCATAGAAAGCCCATGTGTTGGCTAATGTTGAAGACATGTCTTATACATACATCCACTCCTCATTGTCTCCATTGAATGGTAGTACAGATTGGCTGGTAGTCTTCTTTGAATCCTGGCAGGCATAAGTTTTGCCTTTTATGAACTGCTTCATTTGTATAAAAATCTTGTTCTCTATGTTCACTGTGTTGGTCAGCTGTAAATTACACTACATATTTACAATTCTGCTCATTTAACAGGGATTTGCGATTCTCATTACTCACTCATGTCCATTGGAATGCAGTTGACAAGCATGCTGCCACATCGAGGATCACAGTTTCCATGGTAAAGGCATTTGCAAGACATTTTGTGGAGCATTTGTACATAAAAAGTCTTGTCCAAGGAAATATTAGTGAACAGCAAGCAATTGATGCCTGTAAGAACATTGTAGATATCCTGAAATGTTCCCCTCTTCTACCCAACAAATACCCACAGGTGTGTTCATACATTAGTAAGGTCTAAATTGTGTAACAGTAATATATGTGACATGTGCTTGATTCTCACTGATGAATCTGCCCGTCTGATTGGCTGACAATGTTCTGACTGTAATTTAAGTCTGTATTACATTCACAGCTTCGAGTGATGCAGATCCCACTTGGTGAACATTGTTGCCGTGTAAAGTCTTTCAATTCACAAGACCCCAATAGCTCTGTAACAAACTATTATCAGTCTGGGCCTATTTCTATCAAGAGTTTGTGTATTGTTGATCTTCTCATGGTAAGTTTACTCAAGCTGAAGATGGTTATATTTACAGTAAACTTTATAAGTGTATTTATTGTGGAACATACATGTTCTGAATTAGAAGTGGAATATGTGTTGCTTCTGATTATCCACTGGTATTTTATTGATGCATTTACTGATGTGGATGATATTATGTAAGTTAGATTAATGCATTTCCATATTTGAAATTAAGATTAAGTTTATATATATATATATATATATATATTCAGTGCACAGAAAACATGAATTGAACACAGAATGGGAAGGTTGTATGCACATGTGTGCATATGAGTGGGGGCATATATCTGCATAAGTGCATGTTTCACTTCCAGTACTATTGAATGCATTCAAATGAAATTTGATACCAAGGGGGTCTACACCAGATGTTGATAGATGACTTTAATTTAAATTGAAATCAGTCCAGTATCTCTCTACCTTACGTGAAGCCCAGATCAAACTTCAGTTATTTCATGGTACAGAAAGTTCTTATATAGCACAAAATGTAGATCTTGTTGAGGTCTGTAGGTGATGTTTGAAGCATTTTTCTGTCTGGTAAATATTTAATAAAATGTGTGGGAAAATAATTTTTTACTCTGCAGTTTGGTGTCATGTAATTAGTGCTTTAACAATGGGTTTGTAACATAACATAAAATGTGGACCTCAGTCATGTCTACATTTCCCATTTGGAACAATTTTTCTGTATTGCAGATAATTGACAAAATATGAGACCAGAAGGGGGGCAGGGACAAAAAGATTGGGGAAATACTGCCATAGATAATTACAGTGTATTTCTCAACATTTTATGGAACCTGAAGGTTCATTGCCATGTTCACAAGAGCTGCCACTAGTCTCTGTTCTGAGCCAGATGAATCCAGTCCAGCCCCCCCCCCAGCAAAATGCAAGGGCTAGTAACTTCTGGCTCTCTGTAGTGTGTTATTAGCTTTGTAATTATGGATTTGTATCTGGAATCATATGTTTGTATCTGTACTAAATGTTCATCATGGACTGTGAGGTTTGGAAAATCATTAAAATGCATTTGGAAAATTGTGCCCTGCTCTGGAATGCTATACCTATTGGTGATATAGCAGAATCTTAGGCTCTCACAGCAGTGTGGGATATAATGGTGCAGAGTGCATTGAAAATTGACCAGTGTTTTGGAGAATCATGTCACTTCCATCTTCATTCTGTGCTTGCTACTTTCTTCATGCTGGTTTGTTGCTTGTCTCATTCTTCAACCCTGAAGATGGAGGTGATGTATTTCTCTGAAACACTAGGTGATCTTCAACAGGCTACACAGAATTATGTCTCAGAAGATAGAATTCTTCCTATCCATTATAGTTCAAGTCAGTAGCTATGAGATATTTACATTTTTCTAATTTATGCATTTTAGCATGTCTAACTCATTAATCTTTATAATGTGTGTGTTGCACAACTGTGCCAGTACACGCATTGGTTCAGCAAGCCCCAGTGGGCCTAGCATCACATTTTTTAAATATAAATCTGTTACTGCCACGTTTAAATGAATGCCGGCACTGTAGCAGTGAGGATTTGAACCTGGCCAGTGCAGGTTAATGTGTCATTGAGTTAAGTGATAGTGATAGAATGCTGCCATGTATTAGTCACTATACATGGGGTTTGGATTGATAATTGGATTTATTGAAGGCTTGTGACTTGTAACTATAAATCATTATAACGCTTTCACTAATCTACACTGCAGATCACTACTGCAAATATTTAGCCTTCTCAGACTACTATAGTCTTTACTGGTTGTTGCTAGATAGCAGCTCCCAACAGTGGATATTCCTCTGCTTCTGTGTTCACATCCTTAATTGTTGGCAACTGTCTCACAGCTCTTTCAGCTGCAAGTAATTTGTCTCATTTGGCCTTATTATATAGCCTTGGAATAGACAACATAAAAAAACATGTCATAGTCATTTATTGGCCATTACCTAGCAATAGCTGACTGTTCCTGCCCTACTATTCTGGCGTTCAGCCATCATATCACGCTCTTTTTGAAGTTAAAAATATTTAAAATTGAAGAACAGTACAGATATTTGAGGTATTGTCAGTGGTGAAAATTTGTATTGTGATCTTGTGGGTTATGATGCAGCATACTCCCACAGGTATAGCTGATTAACAAACATTTTAGGGGCACCTACTGCTTCCATATTCAGGGTATTCATAGGCTACACAGCATCATTACATAGAAAACTATAGTTAAACACTGGCCTTGGCAATCATTTTTACAAAATTGTGACACCAGCATTCCTCATACAGAAATAAAAGTTTTGGGAAAGAATACACACCCAAGTATTAACAGTTACTGAATTAACAATTACAAAAGTGGATACTGTTATGTTGTAATGTAAGACTGTATTTAAAGGGTGTTAATTGCACTTGTTCCAGTTGCTAATGGAAGAACCAGTCTTTGATGTTCTTCGCACGAAGGAGCAGCTGGGCTACCATGTGTGTTCATCTGTAAGAGATACATTTGGCATTCTTGGTTTCTCTGTCACTGTGAACTGCCAGGCTGGAAAGCACAGGTACATTCATGTATATCAAAATGATATGTATACAGGAACAAATTTTGATTTCTCTACTCCCATGTACAGCTATATTTGTTATAATCTACTCTACACCATGTAATGTCATGTCATGCCTTCAATCTTAATAAATTCCCTTTGTATTTATTTCATTGAGGTATTGTCCCTATGAATTGGCCAGTTTTCCCTTAAATTTCCCTCTTTAATAAATATCTTACTTGAGACTTAATATTTTCAGTACTTCCCTACCGTCTGTTGGCAAAAGTACCAGAATTCGTAGTGTCCATTTGTAATATAAGCTTTTATGAAAGTTATAAGATCTGAAGCTTTCATGTTGGCAAAAGCTGATAACATTTTCTGGGTTATCAGCCATGTTAGCTGGTTAAAAATACCGACATTTCAGTAACCAACTGATGTAGCTGATAGTCCAGGAAGATTTTATCAGTTTTATCCTAGTTCTTTTTGATACTGACTGATCTCCTTTTTTACAAGTGTGGGTCATGTTGATGCCTGTATTGAAGCTTTCCTTAAAAGGTTTTCAAAGATACTGAAGAACATGAAAGAGAAGGAACTGGAGGAAGTGCGCAGTTCACTTATCAAACTGAAGCAGCTGTCAGACATTCACCTGAAGGAAGAAGTATCCCGAAATTGGAATGAAATATCCTCTGGTGACTACCTATTTGATAGGCTAGAGAGGGAGGTAAGTGATGTGTTCTCAGTCCTACTTGTATCTAAAGGGGTCCCGGACTGAAGGATCAAAATCAAAGATGTACAAATCTTATGTATTTTTAAAAACTGCTCTCTTTTATTTGTTATATCAGAAATTTGTTCTGTTGAAAATGGATTATTTGGGAACATGTGGAAGTATACAGTGTGAGAAATCAGAGAAAATTTGAACTGTTTTCTGTACAGGGTTTGTTGATGAAATTCCCACAACAAATAACTTCCTTCCTTGCCCTAAGTAAGTGAAAATTTTGAAATTTGGAGTCACATATAAAACATGATTTGAATTTAAAAATTTGGGTAATTGACATCATAACATTAAGCTTCCTTCCTTTATTCCCATTTTTTCCACTGCTTTGTTCCCTTCTAACTTAATTCTCTCTCTCTTACTTTTCAAGGTGTCATGCATAAAAGATATTAAAATGCCAGAGATAAGGAAGTGGTACAATGACCATGTGTTGTGTGGCAATAAAAGTAACTTGCGGAAACTGTCAGTTCAGGTCAGTAAATTTGGATGTGTGCAGACTTACTTGTATTTTACATACCATTATGCAAGCCCGTATTCTGTAGTTTTCTTTGTACAGCACGGCATTGCCTGATTGTTATGGTTGAGAGGGTATCACTCCCGATTTGTATTTGGGAAGTCCCAGATTCATACATGTATCTTGAATCAGAGGTGAAATATTCTGAGAGGTCTTTTTATGTTTGTTCTTAGTCCCTCCAGGATAGTGCCCGGATTGGGCCATGACCACTTTGACACCCATCCATTTCGTCATTCACTAATCATCCTAACAGTTGATGCTAAATACTGTGAGCTACTGACCATGTCATTAAATGAAATAAGTAAAGTATAATAGAAAAAGGTAACTGGTTGAATTTTTTAAAAACTGCCTTGCAAGTTAGTATGCATTTTTTAACACCTTGTGGCAATTACAGTATCATTTTATGTTTATAATAAGAATTACACTTAGTGTCCTACTGAGGGATTTACCAACCATGTTTTGCTGTAGATGAATATACTGTCACGTGTTTCAGTGACGATAGATGGGTTTTGGATTGATAATTGGATTTACTGGACAATTATACAGATCACTGTCATGCACAGACTAGTATTTTCAGTCACGTTGCTTGGTAGCAGCTTCCAACGGCTCATGTCCCTTGTAATGTGGCAACCATCTCATGCCCCTCTCATACTCATGACTGCTGGCTTTAGTCAATACTTCCTTCAGCTGTTAGCTCACAGGTTGGATGACTGCCAGCTGCCAACAACCAACTTCAGCTGTTGATTTTCACCTGGTTTCCAACTGCCAAACTAATTCACAAGTCAAAGTCATGTTACGACTGAGAGTCAGTCAGCCAGTCTGTCTTGTGGAATAAAGCACCCATCTGGGGCTTAAGAACAGATCTTTATCTTGTTGATGTAGCCTCGGTGAGGACTGCATAGAAAACACCACTTCTATCAGTTCCTCCATTGTTGTATGTTACACATTGCTTAGTGATGGCTGAGGTATTGTTATGTGCTTACACAGCGGTTGCCAAGCAGTGGCTGTCTCCTGGCTCCACAGTCCTGCTTTGAGGAATACATAAAATGTTTTGAATAGTATTTTAAGCTTTTATTGGGAACCCAATAATTTAGAAGTAAGGCACTCTATGCAGAAGGTCTGAGAGTGAATACCAGCTGGATCCAGTGCAAATGTTTCTTTTCTTTCACCTCTAACAAAGTCAGAACTGTTTATTTATGCTAATATTGCTCTTGACAGAAATTTCTCAGAAGCAGTCATCAGTATTATTGTTGGCAGGTTACTGGTGCTGCTGATGCAGGTGAGACACCACAGACACAAGAGCAACAGCCGCCCTCACATAGTAGAGTTCACGGACACAGTAAAACTCGCCAACCGCTGCAGAAATGTAAGTTTTGAAATAGGTGAGATGTAGGGAAATACCCCAGGAAGTGGGAGAGTTGATAAATACCATGATATTTTGTAAAGGCATGGAAAAAGTGTACCTGTGCTTAATTCAGCACCATGCTGTAATATGGGGAGCATACATTTTACCCAGAAAGTGGAGACAAACATCCCTCCAAAACATCAGTTAACTCTTACCAGACAGCTTCATAATTCAGAAAATAATATTCATCATACTCACCACCATGAGAGTCTCAGATATCACTGAGAAAAACTGATTGTGATAGCTCAGGCTAGGTTGCAGCTATTGCATTTTAATATCATATTGAGTTGCCTTCAGGAAATTAATATATTGTGTGTAAAACATTTTTGAGGGTGTATTGTGATCATCATCATCACATAGTGACATGGATTGATGTATCATTGCACAGATTGTCTCTTTAACATACTGTCATGTGTTAGCGACTAGACACAGGGTTTGGATTGGTAACCGGATTTATTGAACACTTATGAATTGTAATTGTAAGTAATTTTAATGCTCTTGCTAATTCATATACTTGACTTCTCACTACAACATACATGAAGTCTTCTCAGTTTATCTTCACTACTCATTGCTAGGTTATGGCTCCCAACAATATAGATAACCCAGCTTCCCTCTCACAGCTGACATCTTGCTCCAAGTATCAACTCTCAACTAACTCAAGGCATCACTAGTCATCACTGACTACTCACTGGTTCTCGACTACTACTTACCACAACTCCCAATAGCAACTTGCTCCATATCCTTGGGGTGGACTGAATAGAAAACACCATTTCTAGCAGTTCTTTTGTTGTTGCATGTTTATTCATTGTAGTGGAAACTTGTCTGCTGAGTTGTTACCAAACAATGGATATCTTTGTGAGTCATGTCCCAAATGTGACCATCAAAATCAGCATACTGCAGAGCTTGTTGAACACACAGGACTTTTCTTCTGTAGGGTTGGACTATAACATGCTTTGTGATAGCATGTTTGCATATTTAATACTGATTTCCAGAGTTTGTAAGTGTATAAACATGTTCAGTCTCTTTTATGTCTGCAGGTTCTTCCATTCATAATGGTCTGACAGTGGAGCTGTCTCTCCAGTTTGTTGCTGAAGGCGATACAGATGGTCACACTAAGAAACATTTTATCACTGACATTGAAGACTTTAAGAATGGACTTTTCATTTATCCTATAAGCAGAATTTGGCCCTAGATGAAAAATGCAGCCCAAGCAACCAAGAAAGGTAATTAATATGAACATTTAATTATTTCTATTATTTCATTTTTTTTTTCCATTTTATTACTAAACCATATATGTACATACAGGTGTGTGTGCGCACATGCATAGTGTCTGCTATTAATTTCTCAACCAGCCAAGTGACGTCAGTGAAAGTTGGTGTAGGCAACCTGTCAGGTAGCATGAGAAATCACTTCTGAATGAAACATTCTTTGATTCTGAAATGAGTGGCAAATAATGCGGCAGATTGTATTCTGCCACCATCTAGTAGAGAAACTTTTATGTGTTATTTTGCAGCCAATACAGAAGTTTTCTGATCTCAATTTTATACAGTGCTGCGCCCTTTTATCCTAATTATATACACATTTGTGGCAGGTTAGGTTGACATTCTTGCACATGGAATGGCTTTTGAGGTTAATTTTTTATCAAACAGAATAAGGCCGTGCAACAGAATTTTTATTATGAACCAGGTGTTATTTTTGAACTTACTTTGGCCTTGCTCCGTTCCTTCCTGTTTCCTGTAGTTGTGGCAGTGTTATGGATGATGAAGGGGTAGTAAATGGGATATTTGGTACCAGTGTGTGGCAGGGGAAATGTGAATGTATAAGACTACAGTGGAGCCCATGCAAACAATTCTTATACTCTGTATACCCTCCCTTTCTGCAATCACTTTACTCTAGTCCTACTCTTCCACTCCTGCTGGATGGATTACCTGTTCTATGCTTGCACTAGGTGAGTGAGACCAGCAGGCAGGCATGGATGGTAATGTGGGGGAGTAGGCTATCCTATCCCAGCAACTCTTATCCCCACCACCTTTGAGAATTCTTCAGTTGGCTCAACTGTAGTCTCAGAGCTCTAACTGTGGCAAAGAAAGCACAATCTCTGTGGTGTGGCTATATATTTACATTAAAAATATCATTACAGCAAGAATGCATGTGATAATAAAAGAAAGCCAGAGGACACAATTCCTGAAACCAAGAGGAGTTTCAAATTTTGACATTTAACGAGTTCAAGAAATATGCTAATGGTGAGGTTGTCACACATTCCAGTTACTTCTACAGACCTGGCATGAAATATGCTATGTTGTCAAGAATTTTATTCAGTAATTCCTGTGGACAGCCATTTGTTTCAGGCACTTGTTGGGTTAAGCACATTAAAGGACCCAGGGCACACAGCAGTGAATCCAGCAGTACAGACAAACTGCCTGACACTGCAATTTGACCCTATAAAAAAAAACACACATTACAAAGCTAGTACTATTAGGCACTGGTGGAGTAATTTACATTTAATTTGGCAGAAGACAAATCTTAGGCAACACATGTAAACGTGGAAACACTGACTCAAGAAGATTACACTTATATTGACTTGTGTGACTGCATATGCCACCTATTTAACAATAACAGCGACAGAATCAAAACGACGATGACAAAAACATTACATTTTGAGAGTGAGTACTACAGATTTAAGACTGTGGTCACTTCTGACTTGCAGGTAGATGGAGGACAATTCTTTACTGTTAATGTCTGCATGTTTGGATGTGTGAAAATGCAATTTAGTATTCAAGGGCATGTCCTGTGTGGGAGCAGGTTAGACTGTCTCCACTGTAGCCCTGCAAGTTGTAGAAGGCAACGAATAGGGAACCCAGTGCCTGGGGGTATATCTGGGCCACCCTCTCACTGGGGGACATGAATACAGAGACCTTGTACTGCAAGAAAAAAAACTGTTGCAAAATTCAGAGACATGAAAACTGGATGGTCTAGTTCATGATGGAATAGACAAGTCTGGCAGAATCTTCTAGGGAAGGTATGACACAAAAGGGCTGTTCTGCAAATGAGTGACGATTCAAGGACACACATGTAAAAAGTGACAGTGGGAGACCTTGAAGAGAGTAATCCAAAGCACCAAAACATACAGAACATGAAGTATCAGATCAGTTACATAACCTTGATGGAGGACTTCTAGTAGACTCATCTTCTATTTGATTTTTGGGATAGGGTACTTGTTCCACCGAATTCCCTGTCATTTCTTCTCTATATCATCATCACATTACGCCCAAGTCAGACTTCTTCAGTACAATCTACCTACATGATTCTACATGAAGTATTATTCTGTTTATAATAGATGTGCTGTAGTCTGAATTCCCCACCTATCCGTAGTATTCTACAAACTAAACTTACTTCATGTTCCTTCAGCCTCTCACCAATGATAGTAAGGGATTCTCCAAGGAGCTTGAGGTGAGCTGCAACGTCCACTGGCTGTGTTCCAATAACTTTGTACAGGCCTGGACCAACTACTGGCTCTGTTACCAAACCAGTCTTTCCAGGTCTGAAACGTGTGGGCAAAAAGTTACTTTAATCAGTCAAATTACTATAAAGTAGTGGCATTTTGTCACATATTTTTATATGTAGTCCACTAGGATGTGAAGTTGACAATTCACCTCCCTTCACTGAAGTCCAGAAAGATGGACTAGTAGCTCCATAACATCACAGTATGGTGGTTATGCTTAGAGACACCTTTATCTTCAGGCCACTGGGGCTGCTATGAATTCTGTGTTACTTTTCCTTAAATTACATGGCATGTACCAACTGGGCATATAACTGGTACATAAAAAGTCTGTTCCATAGCTCAGGTGGTTAGTTGCCAGCTTCCCACTGTGGCAGCACAAGTCAAGCTATGTGGGATTTGTAGGGGACAGAGTGTCACTGGGGCAGGTTTTCTCAAAGTACTTCGGTTTCCCTTGCCAATTCTCATTCCACCGACTCCACATTCATCATCATCTGTCATTTGGGGCTGGTACAGTAGGCGAATTAGTCGCCGACATACCAAGTGGACTCAGTCTCACCCCACCCCAAGAAACTTACAAAAAACTAGGTGCATAAACAATTTTTGGAATGCAAAGGCTTGTATGAAAAACTGGGAATACAGGGGATATGTCTGATGATTGACTTGTACTAAAGTATCAAATATTCTTATCAGAGAGGATCCGTTGAGCCCTTTGAAAAACTGACGCATTATATTGGAACACTCATTCAATGTTCATTATTTTTCCCTCCCTTAATGTTCACCTTCACTGAGACAAAGTCAATAATCGCAGCATTAAAATTCCTCCATTTAAATTCTTCATTAGTTCAGTGTTAAAATCCACTGCTGCCCCCCCAAAAAAACCTTAAAGGGAAGGTTCACTGTATTATGGAACAGGCTTGAAATAACAGGGTGTCAAAGCTTGTAGCTCTGATCTCAAAATTGTTGCTGAAGAATTTGAGGTAGTGTGCAAATGCACAAGGCACAAATTAGTGAGACTAGTTCCAAATGTATTGCTTGTGATTTTGTATCTCTCATTGTTTTGAATGACCATTTATTTGCACATGGCAAACTTAAAGTTGAGACAGCTAATCAACAGTTCATAGACAAATTACTTTTTAATATATTTTACTAAGTAAACACCATACTGAGCAACAGTTCAGATAAAAATTATGGATCTTATATTTTGTGATATTATTTTTTTCTTATATAGTGAGCCATTTTTAAAATGTGTGAAGTATTACCTGGGCTTCATGTGAATATAGGTTTGTACTGAATTTGTTATGTTAATCTGTCTGTGAGTATAAATTATATCTTTATGAAACAGAATATACTGTGTACATTACTTGGAATCTGCTGGAGTCTGTGGGGAAACAGTGGCATTTCCAACTGGTGATGTGGCCATCTGACCAGCTTGCTGCTGTTGCTTTTCACTGCCTGCTGCTGCTCGACCTGCAGAAACACCTGCCCGCTGTTGCTGCTGGCCTCTTCCTCCATGTTTGTTAATAAACTTAGATTTGGAAGCAGGGGTCTTGTACTTTCCTGCTTCCATGCTTGGAATATTTGTTACAGTACTTCCTGGAGTTCCTTTTACTGCTAGACGTTTGGCACGTCGTTTCCAATTCTGTAAAAAATATTCTAGTTTTGTTTGTATAAAATGAAGAAATATGAGTATTTGCAGAATTTCAAGGGTTTATGGAAAGAGAAGGTAACAGTGCAGAAATTCAACTTATTATCTAGTACTGAGATAAAGAATGTGTGCAGCCATACCTCCACTCCCCCATACATTTTTATGGTATGGTGCATAATGATGCAAATGAAGTATTAATTTTGAGAAATGACCACTTTTGAAGAAAGCAGTCTTCTGGGATTTGGCACCTGAAGATGGAGGCGATACGTTCCTCCGAAACGTCGGTTAACACTGCATATACATGCTGCCAAATCCCAGAAGACTGCTTTCTTCATAGTCACCACCGTGAAAGCCTCAAATCTTACATGACCACTTTTGTTTCCATACTTCCAATGTCTGTCTTGTATGCCACTCAAGGTGTACATATTTGTATATGGTTTATCATAAATGAACTATTAAGTGTTTTAAAGTTAAATGTCTTAAAACAATATGTTGATGATTACAAGGTTTAGAAATTGCAAAAATTCTGCTTTTTCCATTGTGCACAATGTAAAGCAGAAATGTGGCAAATCACAGTATTATCAGACTTGTGATATATATGAAATTTCTGAATATAAGTTCTTGGAACAAAAATGAGATGTGTGTATGTACTTACATATTTTTCATTTGTTGGTACTGTTGCCCAGAGTTCTCCCAGGCGTTTACTCATAGTTGCAAAATCTACAAGACAAACAGGATGCATTTAAAATAAATGACAGTTTATGAATAAATATTTATTTTACGCATGCTTTGGGATAGTTTAGTTGGCACTGTGATGGGCAGCTGAGGAACTAAGTTCAGATCCTGGCAGAGACAAGAGATTTTTCTCCCCACAGCATTCAGACAGGCCCTGGGGCTCACCCAGCCTCTTATCCAGCGGGCACCACAAGGTCTTTCACCAGAATTAAAGCAGCTGAGGTTGTGAAGGTAACCACTCACTGTCATGTAGTGCTCAGGCTTAGAATGTGTGCAGCTATACAGTCACTCTCCCAATACCTCATCATAACGTGGTGCTCAATTAATTAAGCATAGAAACAACTTTTTTGTTATATATTTATAAATCTTACTATTTTGTCTTTATGTGATACATGAGTATATACAGCATATTGCTTGTGCATTCCATTAGTAGGCAAATATAAAGGTGAAGTGACTTCTTAAGTGTATGTAATTGTGATCCTCTAAAAGTTTGTGGCAGTGGCTGTTATTAAGTATAAAATTATGTTGACCAGTGTCCACTGTCTTGGCTAAATTTAAAATTATGTGACATTTCAGAAGCTGGATCTATCTTTCCCATTTCTATGCCTGATGATTGAAGCAGATCCAGCTTTTGCAACATGGTATAACTTTAAACTTAACTAAGACAATGGCCAGTGTCTGACATAATTTGATAATTAATTATGCAACTGTGTAAAGCTACAAAATTTGTTTACAACTTCTTGTTAGTGTCAGGATGATGGATTATGCAGACTGTGATGGGAACTGACTGCTATCCCTTGGTGTATGCCATATTTTTTTTTCTGAAAGTAATAGTAGTTCTAAAGTGAGGCCATCTACCAAGGATTGCATTATAAAAAATATGTTTTTCTGACATCCCAATATAGATAACTGTCCTTCAATGATAAGATCGCTGGAGCAGAAGTACATGAATAATTGGACCCATAAAACTGCTAAGGGTTTGCTACAAATATTGCATATGATTATGGAGCCATACTTAATTCCATACTTTTCTGTTATGTATTGGATGTTGTGTGAAATTAGTTGAAAAATTGCATGGAATATGTAGTAAGGACTTTGTGACAGGATTCACCACCTTTTTTAAAGGGAGGAAACTGTTAACAAATACTTTGTGGAATTGAATGGTACTCTTACAGACCACTGAAAGCCAACTGGTGGACTGCATGTGCCTCCATGCCACCACTTGGACAACCACACCTTAATATGAAATTTTATTTACATTATAAGGCATTTTGCTACAAGTCGGAAGGTCGCGGGTTCAAGTCCTGCTGAGGCCATTGGATTTTTTTTCAGTTGACCTAATCCTTCTGGCTGCACTATGGCCTTGGGTTCACTAAGCCTCTAACAGAAATGAGTACCAGGAATTAAATAAATAATTTTCCTGGGGAGTAAAGTGTGGCCGGCACGTAAGGCTGACAACCTTACCGCCATCCTTGAGCTAATTGTCTAGACGTGGGCCCTCAACGTCTCACAACCCTATGGGCCTTCACAGCCTGTTATAGGGATAGCTTTATTTTTTTTTTATTATTACTTTTAAACATATATAATGGCATTCCATGGCCTTTCTAAGATACTTTCAAACTGTGTGTTCGGAGGTACTAATGTTATCCATCATATTAAACAACCTAGCAAATCATAAAATTATCATGGACTGGTGAATGACAGTATAATGCATGTACTTTGTGCCATACAATTGAATTTTATGTGATAGGTGACTGATGCATATCATGACAATGGTCCAGTTTGAATTAAAAATGTCTGGTGTATATACAAGTACCTTCAGTTTCATGTAGGTGAGGTAGGCAGCAGGTCTACTAAAATACATGACATTTGCTTACCCATCTCTGGATTCACTCGTAAGATTTCTTGACGAATGTCTTTTGCCCATAACATGTAGGCTGTGAAACGAGTTTTCTGAAATTAAAAATGTCTAAATAAATACAT